ACGAATGATGCACAATGTGTATTATCCGCCCAAGTATAAAATGACTCTGATTCACAATTCTTTTTAAATTTATATCGTTTTCTAAAATTGATAAAAACTTAACTGAAATACGCCAAAAACCATCATTCTCATTCTCTTCGTTTTTATCATTCAGTATTTAATCTCCAAAAACACTTAATAAGTGTTAGTGTTTTCATTAGAAAACTTTATGACATCACGTTAAAATACTAAACTATTGATCAAAAAGGCTGGAATTAGTAAAATAAAGTTAAGTTTTTCAAGTGGCACCTGTAAGGGGTGTCATTGCAAAATGCAAAAGACGAGCTTCTATCACTGATGGCAAAATGACGTGATTTCAAATTTGTTCACTGAAGATCTCCGAGATGTCACGTAAGTGACAGACTGAGCCACTTCTAACCATAAGACACGATGGTGTCAACGTTGGATTGGTTTCTTCCTGTGTACTATTGTACCTAAACGTGTCGTCTCGCTAGAGACGCGCTTGCCCGCGCTCCGGATATAGTGGAAATAATATAGAGTGCCCACTGCCCTTTTGTCACTCCGTCTCTCCATTTTTTTCCGCCACATCACTCACGCCGAGGATCAAGTGGCTTTGTTCAGTGAGATTGTCTTAGTCTGTTCACCTCGGGTACCTTTCTGCGTCCATTTATTTTCTTCTCTCTAATATAAATAATTGTTCTTATTGTAGTTTTCCGCCAGTTTGAGCATTTGTATGAATGGAATACGTCCTCCAATTTCAATTTTGAAAATGAAAATATAAATTTATTTCTTTGATTTCTGGATTTTGAATCTTCCTCTGTAAGTTTTATGATGCCATGAGACGCATAGTTATTTTGTCACGCGTTTCCGTGCCTGATCGACATTGATATAATTGAACACATTGTCTTACATATCGTTTCTTTAATTGAGTTTTTCAATAAATGCCACATTCAAGACCGTATCACCTCTATTAATTTGTAACTGTATACCTGAATGGACAAGTTGACAGCAAAATAACCTTATTAATTATTACAATTATTTGTCTGTTTTGGTGATTTTTTCTATTAAAAGTAAAGATTTTTAGACGCAGCTCAAATTTAAGTTCATGAATAGCATTTTACAAGCTTGTACTTCACACTTTAATCACTTAAATAAACAGCAGTATTCTTTCAGACAGAAATAATAATTGTAAAGCAAACATTGATTACATTTCGAGGTCACGTCATCGACCTGTGCATGTTGTCAGTGACTGGGGTCACAATTTTAGATCGATGTCCACGTGTCATGCGCGAATTTCTCGATTGAAGTGAAAATCGATCTCTGCAATGATGGACAAAAATAAATAGCCATCTTTTTATGGTTTTTGATGGAAAGGGCGATAAGGATGGTTTTGTGTAGAAAGTGCACTTCATGAACGTGGGCTTGTTTTATGGCTGGTGTTCGCATTTAAAGTCAATAGTGGTGTATTGTGAGAAGTTTACAAGCGTTACAAGCTCGCTTGTTAACAGTCTTCCTAATAGACATTGGCGTCCAAAGTAAATCACCAGGCGGTGACAACAAAGTGAGACCGGAGCCGAATGTTCTTTCTACTTCGGCCAACTCGCATTACGCCGTTAAATGAAACTTACGCAATTCGGCGAAGGGAATGAAATAGAATTGATTTAGTCCGGCACGCGCCCGTACGCGGTAGCGATAACGTATCTTTAACAAGGATGGACACTTAATTAACAGGCTTTGAGACGCTGTCACCTATGACAAAATGGACTTAACCTATAGTTAATATTACGTGGATAATATAAGGGAGAGAAAGTTATTTCTTGCAAATAACCAACCTGAGAAATACCATCCATTTCAAGTCACTATAATATTAACCGACAAATTGCTGTCTTTTAAAAGCCTTTTCTGTTACACACTGCCCCATTTAATCAGTACAGAAATGACGGAAAGGATCTTAAGACTTGCTCTTATCAAATTCAACGACCAAAGCAAAAAAAATGATTTCCGAAATGTTTTGTAATACGTTCAGTACATATGGTTGAATAAAAGGAAAAAGACACCGAGGATTGCAAAGATTAACGGCAATTTTAAGGATTTACTTTACTATGCGCCATAGTTGTTGATGATATTATGTTGGGTGAACTGACGAATGAGTTTGTTGGAGGTTGCGCTGAGGTGACAGCAAGCTTAAGACTGAGGAGGGTGGTTTGCGTGTTTCGATTCAACAAGCATCGTACATGTATGATGTGCCTGAACAAGGTCGAGGCGAGGGTTTTAATTTGGGCGTGGCCTGCAAGTGAAGCGTCTCTGTTCGGTGCTGAAGTACCTGTATCATTTCCCTTCGCCTACCCCTCTCTCTCCCTCTCTCTCTCTCTCTCTCTCTCGCTGTGTGTGTGTGTGTGTGTGTGTGTGTGTGTGTGTGTGTGTGTGTGTGTGTCAATAAATTGAATCAAACTTAATTCACATTGTCATATATCAAGTTTTGTTCCCCAACGTTTTTTATGAATGTCTGTGCGTTCTGCGTCATGAATTTTGACGTCTTTACAAACGACTTAAATGTGTCTCAGAAATTTTTTCTTTGAGTCTACTGTTCAGGATATGCTCTTCTTTGCTATTTCAACCGCACGCTTCCGCAAGGATGATCCATGGAAACTCAAGGAAATTAATAAACACGACATATGGTGGTTTGGAGCAATTATCGAAAAAGCTTGTACGATTTTCCCGGCTCTTCAGCTTTGTTCCAATTACCGGCGGCGCGACTCCTTCTCACATTTTATCCAGTGATAGAAAGTGACCCGCAACGTTACTTTAATTAGGAGGGTCAATGTTTTATCAGACGCTTTTGTGTTCGATTTTTTCTGAAACTTCCTTGTGAAGTGTCTCGATGTTTTTAAAAGAGATTTGTCCCTTCTTTCTTTGATTTAATGTTTGTGGGAAAGCTTCTGAAAACATTGTCTCATTAGGTTTCCGCGCCTTTGGAGCGAAGGGGGGAGGTTCGGCGCGGCGTCATCACAAGAGATTTGGCTCTCCGCCACGTGGAAAAAAACAATTCAAACACCTAAAAAAAGCTGTCAGGCAGGATATGGATGTAAAATTAGCATGCATGTGTTTTGCCTGATGTGTAGCAAAATTACCAAGGCATGGAAATTTTCCTTGCCACGCGCTTGTTGAACAATACTCTGTAATATTCATGACAGGTGAGAAAATGCAACACCAAGCAAACCAATGATTAATGCAGGTTATAGCTCTGTCAATTAACAATAGAATTTAAAAGACGCGAAAGAAGTGTATTTATTACGTTTTTTAATAAATGTGGTACCAGGTGAGGTATTATTTCCGTACGCTCGCTGCTTTGTGTTCGACAAAGCACACGCTCCTCTTCTTTGTACCACTCACATTTCCTGAGCCATAACCCCACAATTGCCGCTGTCTGGGACTCGTATAGGGTCACACAGTGAGCGTGGAAACTTTTTAGGCGAGTTTTTTTGACGATACAGACGAGCCACGCTAAGCGCGCTTTTCCCTCTGTCCTCTCTGCTGCATTTTTGAAACAACGCGCCTCCAACTTGTCACGCATGCGTGCTGAATGCCTGAGAACAAAGCGACGCTTACACAAAGCTCACAGCTTAGAGCGATTTGCTGTTGCATCGAGTTTCTTGCAGACAAGAAAAGAGGTCTCCAGAGTTGTTCTCAAAAACAAATCACTTAAAGTATTCACTTCATATTACTATCATTTTTGGTTGCTTTATTAATAATATTTTCTGTTTAACTTTTTTTCATTCTTCTTGGTTTGAAGAAAACAATTTCGTTTTATGTAATTATTAGTCACAAAAATGATAAGCCTCGACGGCAAAGAAAAATACGTCACTAGTTTAGAAAGCTGAGAGAACGACAACAACAAAAAGGTTAACTGTAAATTGAAAAAAATAAAAAACACATATATAATACAATATATCACATGAGAGAAGACATCGGCTGAATGGAGTTCAAAACAGCATATGTTATACTGTTCTCCCCGGTTAATGATGAACGTAATTACACAACTAATTGCCTCTTCGATGAGTTTACGGTGAGTATTGTGGGGCCAACAGAATGATAATCAAGGCAATTGAGAAAGGAAGCAGTCCTTAACACGGTCGTCGTAGAGACTAAAACAGACAACGAGAAGCTCAGAAATTAGGCCTATTTTTTGGGGGGCTTTTGTTGTTATATACATAGGAGTCACACTTTTATCGAAACTGAGTTTGCCTGTGTCGCTTGGAAAGATGGCGTTATAGACCCGGTGTCGGTGCGACCGTTTGACTTTCTACAGCCACCAGACAGTTTTATGTTGAAAATGTGCAGACATATGAAGAAAATTAGCCAGTAGAAGCGGCACTGTCTTGAACCGCTGTCTGGTCCGCCCCAAAGCGTGGCAGGGTCTGAGCCGCGTGCCATTTTAAGTATTTAATCCGACCCTTCAGCGGCGGTGAGGGCACTCCGGTCGCGACTAATGGTCATAGCCACGGTCATCCGCCACAGTTACTTGACCAAGGCGTGATAATGACAGCGCCTGTGATAATGGACTGTCCCATCTACGTCGATTAAAGGAGCCCAACAATAGCGATATCACATTGTCAATCAAGCTTTGAAATTTTTGTACAACATCTTGCGACTGGTTGGCTCAGTGTATCCTGTCACATGGCCTCCGGAGACGAGTAAATTGCACCTAACACCACCATTCCGTTCACTACTAGTCCCGCTGGCTCGGACAATAATTAACGTAGTTTTGTAGATGCGCCGCTCCTCTTTTACATAAATCCGTGAAGTTCACACATTTGTTTTGTTTGTCAACATTATCTTGTCAGTCAGGGGCTAGCAGAGCATGCCACTGTCTCTGGCAGGGCGACAACTGCGCACGTTCATTTGCGCAACTCTCCCCGTCGTGTGCTATTGTGCGCTCGCGTGGCTGTGAGCCGCAGGCTCCCGTGCCGTTATTGGCTGTCTGTCACCAACTGTATAAATACCCGAATCCGAGTAGACTTGACAGATCTCAACTCGACTCCCAAGAAGCAGCAACTTGAGCGAGAACGTGCTTTTTCAAAGATGTCCGACTTTTCCAACGACAAGATGAAGGAAGAGTTTTTAAGCAATGATGAAAATGACAATCTTATATTCAGTCGCCAGCACCAAGAAAACAGGCCTATGGACTGCCATAGTGAACAAGCTCATAACAGTGCCGACTCCGGTAAGAAAAAGCGCTACACAAAATCACGAATCCGAGCCAGGAGTCCAGCAATGATACAAAAACTAAAGAAAACTCGACGTGTCAAAGCAAACGACAGAGAACGAAATCGCATGCACAATTTGAACGATGCATTGGAAAGCCTGAGAAAAATTTTACCGTCCCCCGGTGAAGCTAAACTTACCAAAATTGAGACACTTCGCTTCGCACATAATTATATATGGGCCATGACGCAGACGATCAAGATGTGCGATTTACAAGAGCGTATGTTACATGGAATCTCGGGAGACAGTGGAAACACAGACTGCTTCCAGTATCCTCAGGGTGACAGAGCCGGGTTTTATCACAATAACCACCCAGCCAGTCCAGTGTCTTGTATGCAGCAGTTTTCACCGGGACTCGACCAGTCCTACCCCACCAGCTGGACGCCATATAGGAATCATCACAGTGACAACAGCTTCCCCTCAAGTCCCAATTCAGACTGTTCTGATAGCAGAGACAGTGTGTTCTACTCGGCGGACAGCCCGGACAGTTACAGCTTTATTGGGAGTGTGTGAGACTTGTCTTGTGGCTGACAGAAAGATGCTCCATAAATTAAATAGAAAAAAAACTCCATTGCGATTGACGTTTGTCTCTTTGAGGGAATTGCAATCAGAAACACTATGCATCATCTGGTAATACTTTCTTTATGCAAATATATTTACAAGGATATTTATATTTTGACTGATATTATAGAACTATTTTCACTTTATACTAGAGTCGCCACATCATGAAATGCTATAATTTTTAGTAGCATTTGTATTTTATACGTTTAATCATGATCCATCACATAGGTATGTGTAGCTTCACGTTATTTTGTCATCTTTATTGTTAATCAAAGGAAGCAAGTGTTGATAAGTCTGCATAAATTTGTCTTTTGAATTCTTTGACATCAAAACTCTTATCAACATTTGAGTTCAATCTGAATGTTATCAGTATTTAAATATTGAAGAACAATTCCAAAGGAAATGTTTATGTCATCTGAAAGTTAAGTTTTATTTTGTATCTTTGTCAGATCTGCTTTCGTTGTTGTTTTTGCTTTTAGTTAAAAGTTTCAATAAACCTATTTATTATTAACACAATTAACATTTTTAATGTGTCATTTGTCATTATTGGGATTTTTAATCTTAAATCATTTAACGACACCTTTTATAACCTTTTTCGAGAAACTACAAAGATAATTTCGATTGATTCCCTTTCGCTAGCATTTATCACTCCGGTGAATAATTTTAAGCAATCAAGCGGGCCCGAGAAGTGCACTCCCTGGGGAGATGCCTGTCAAAGCAGTCGACCCAATAAGAGTGACGCTTAGATCGCGTGTGTCTTGCTGCGATTAGAACTTGAATAAGTGAGAATTGAATGGACCACTGGCGTAAGACGATTACTTTAAATCTCTTCATGCCTTTTACCTAATTTGAACACTCAATCGGAAAATATTTACGGAAATCGTCAAATACCCCATGTTAATCACACGTAGAATTGCGACCGGCATTGAAGTTGGTGATAAGAAGTCGGATTAGGAAGTGCTGAACGGTGATAATCAAGGTTTCAGAAAGAAAGCCAAGCAAAAAAAAAGGAGCTCTTAGAAAATTTAATTAAATTTCTGTTTTCTTCGGTTTTATGGCTTCGTTTTCAAAATTCTTACCTCCACCAAGGAGGTAATGTTTTTGTCTTTGTTGGTTTGTTAGTTAACAATCTAACTCAAAAAGGCATGGACGGACTGTGATAATTTTTTTTTTTAGTATAGGTCAGAAATGGGCTTATTTAGAATCGATTAGTGGTGATCCATTACTTAATTTATAATGAGAACTGAGCTGACAAGGCAAAGGTCTGCAATATCTAGTTATTTACTATAATTGTATTCAACTCTCTCGTTCATATATGCTAAAGTGACTAGAAGTGGATATGCGATTTCACGAAACAAAATAAGCAAAAACAATATGAATTTATGAAATGATTTTTCAAAAAATAGAATCAATTCCAAAAACGACTAACAGCAATAAAAGTTTAAACTAAAATAGTGATGGTGATAAATTGCACGCATAAAGGGCGCTCCTGTTTGATTTACCGTCCTTCGCACTTCTTTATCTATTTTGGATAAAGAATAAAAAAGAGAATAGAAAAAGAAAAAAAGTGCTTTAAGCAACGAAGCAGAAATTAATTAGCAAAAGAATAGGGGTGCAGACTTTTTTGAAAGGTCACCTATCGTTTGACGCGCAGACCACATCGGCGGGTAAGCGGATCAGCTAATGAAGATGGTCGTCTTTCCACGCGGCCCAAAGAAAACGACAGACAAAAGCCACTTCTTCTGCAGCTTGATGGAAATTTGATAGTGGATGCACAATGGGATGTTGATGGAGTGCTTAATAATAAAACTGCATTTATACAAAGTAACATCCACTTTATGAAAAAGCTGGCGTGCGCCTGGTGGTAATAAACATACCGGGAGACAATGGGCGCGCGTGCCGTCCCAATGACCCCGGGGCCGCCCCGTCGTGTCCCAGACAACCGGACACCCTGGTTACGGCAAAAGCCACCAAGGACACACAACTGATGAGGCCGAGGAGAAGCTCAAATTGCACTTTTATTATGTTCCATAAAAACGTCCTACTACGTAAGTTTCTTGCAGGGAAGATGCGCGAAAGATAAATACTGCACTCCAGGCCGCTTTCGACACATTGGACTGCAGTTCTTAGCATGCATAACATGTTCAATAGTTTTATTCGTATGATCTTTTCGTTACTTAAACATACAACCATACTGAAATAACATGGATAACAAAACAAAAAAGAAACTGATTATCAGTATGATGCACTTTTGAGTCACTAATTTCAAGATATCAAACGATATGTTTGTTCAAAATATGTTTTTGGCGTTCGCAAAAGTTATTTTCACTATTTTTTGGTATAAATTATGATTGGTTAGTAACTGACTACACTGTTATGATCGCCTACATTTCACACACGGTTCCGGGTTTAAGAGTAAGCATTCTTTACTTTGAATCTTGGCATTTTAATCAACTGCACAGAAGTAAATCATCACATATTTTGTCATATACACGAAAATTGAATAACACACAACTGGCCACTTCAGAAAAGGCCACGTGTGGACCACGCCAAACGGTGTGCGGTCCGGAATGATAAGCAAATAGTCACATACTTGGATAAGGGGCAATGATCCAGTTGCGCTTTTAAACTTTGAAATCCTCCAAAGGAGTGTAATCTCAGGAGTTGAGACTTTCCAAACCGTTAGGGGCCCCACAGCTTGCCAATTGTTATGCTAAATACAGTTCCGTCCAATCCCGCGTAACACACGCAAATAGTCCCTGCCTGTTTCGTGAAGGCAATTCATTTTAATCACCGTATTATCCTCAGAACAAATAGCCCTCAAGGTATGTGTATGATAGGACCTTTACGTGAAGATGGGCTTTCTTTTATCAAGGCACGAGCCGTGTGTCTTCTTGTGTCACTGAAGCCGGTCGTCGCCTTCCCCTTCGAGCCACGCAAGGCAGGTGAATGAAACAGAGAAAATTACCAAGAAGACCCTAATTATTCCTGCAACTTTTTTCCAACCTTCGAGGCAGGGTAATCAGAAACATTGAAGAAAAAGAATCGAACAAACACGTGAAAACTGATCAAAATTGAACTAAAGAAAATAGACCCACGCGGGTAATTACACGTTAGGTAAAAAACTCAGTCTATTATTGTCAACGACGAATGATCTTGTAATTTGACAAGAATATATTTCAGAGCTTGGGGGCAAACATTTGCAAAGTATAAAGAGAATAGGATGCTGGTATAACGGTAAAGGTTACTCTCCAGTGCAGCTTGCTGTTGTATCGTTTCACCTGGATCTCCTCTGTACACCTGACCCTAATTTGATAATGCAGCAAATTAATTACCTACCTTAAGAATGCTGAGCAGTGAGAGGCGCGAGGGTTAATGACAAACTAATAGGAAGAATTAATTAATTAATGAAAGGAGGAACAGTGGGTACAGGCAACATAAAATTGGATTTTTCAACAGCAATTATTCCAGTTTTCCTGTGTTGACACCGACTTCCTCAATTGATTTTGTTCTGCGGTGAAGTAGTGTATTACTTCACTGGCGATTAATCAACCATGGTTTTCATGGCGTTATTATCTATTATGAATCTAAAGTGACGGCTGACGGCCGCAAAAATTTTGTCGCGTGTCAAAAATTCCCTTTTCAAACAATGAAATTGCAACTTTTGTTGACGTGACCATTGCTTATTATCTACATTAAGTATCAAAAGTGATAGGCATAGTTACTCCACTTTACCACACTTTCTCGGCACGAGAACTTATTTTCTCCCATTGAACGACCGATCAAGTCGACGTCGGTTCGAAAATTAGGTGAACTTTCCGCAACGTATTTAAAATAAGTGCTCTCAGCTTTCGCCCTACTAAACTTTGAATGTGTCGACCAAATAATATTGCGAAATCTTTCAGCTGGATCGCTCGTTTGGGCGTTGGACCAAGGAACCATTTGATAGGTTTTCCAAAGTCATTTGAAGAAAATCACATTCATTACATACAGGTGATCGCAGTTAGGGTCGATTTTAGTGTCAGATGATTATACCGTTTTTGACGGGTCGACAATCTTGCCTCGTAGGACTAGAGTTGCCGACGGCGGTGAGGCCCGAAACCCCGCTGTTTTAAACTTAGATAGGTTTCATGCAAAAAAGAAACACGACACCAAAATGAAAATGGGCATTAAAAGAAAAATTACATGTTTTCCGTGGTTCCAGCTTTTACGAAGACGGCAGCAAACGGGAGAAAAGTGCGTTATTTTTTTGTTCATTAGCTAAGCGCAAGAGCTTGCAAATCCCTGCTCCACTTGAATTATATTGTCAGGATAGGTTAGCCGCATTATTGAAAGGCTAATAAAAAGTGTTAGATTCGGGTCGGTAACTCTCGTTCAGCGATCAGGGATCGAGTGGCTTAGGGCACCTCTTGCAAGTCGTGCTCCATCGCTTGACAGTGCCAAGGTAATCAGGCATGTGTCAGAAGAAAAAAGCCCGTATCTAAACCGCGGTATCAAATCACGATCACTTCACTGGTCTTCTGTAGGATTACTTACAAACGATTTGCCATTTACCTGTGTTTTAAAAGAAGACTGAAAGCCATGGTTGCATTGTTGCATCCCGGTCTTTTCTCGCCCGACCTCCCTCGCATAAGGAGATTGAAAGTGACACCTTAATGGCATCGGCGGCTCGTGCCGCTCGCGACAGCAGGGGCGCGCGAGATAAGCTTCGCTGCCTTCTCAGCGTTATGGAAAACGGGGGTTTACTTCTAGAAAACTTATAATATGCCACTTGAATAAGAATAGACATATAAGACGGAGGCATCTTTATCCGCCCTCTAAGGTTTCAATCCTTAACTTATGAAAAAAGATTTAGATGAAGTATTTGTGCAGAAGTCGCTTGATGTGGTTCATATTTTCATGGATTTCATCTTAGAAGACATTTGCAGATGGCGGGGGATGAAATATGATATCGATGTATTAAGATTCAATGAATAATTGAATTAAAAAGAAATGAAGATAACCCCAAGCTGCAGATTTTTGAAAATAAAGAAGAAGATAAAGAAAGAAGTAGAGGAGACGCTAAAAAATCGAAAATAAGAAATTATGTGAAATAGAAAAAAAAAAGAAAGAAATTAAAGAAGGATGTACATGTATGCTTGTCTGAATACTTCTATGAATACTTATTTAAAGCTGAATTCATAATACTCCGATTTTCAAATCAAGAGGTTTGGATAAATAACAGATTCGATGCGCTCTTAAAATTATATAACGACTGCAAGATTCACGACTGCAAGACACCCGAAGGAATGAATGGCAACTTGATTGAAAAGTCAGCAATTATATTTGAATTTTCCTTTCTAAATTATGATCTCACAATGGACGAATGAATATGCTGCCTTAGTAATTTTGATCTATCTTTTATCCGGGAATATCTCAAATATTTGTTACAGGAACTGTACAGTTGTTAATTTTTCAGTTACAATACAGTTTTCAAAATGCTAATAGTACCCATTTGTGCATAATCGGTCGATCTTACTCAAGAAAGACGTTAAAACTATCGAGCATGATTCTTTTGCGTCAAACCAACATAGCGAATAACGCATTGTAGGGCTTTGGCAGTGCTACAGTTGAGAATGTACATACATGTAAGACACCTTGCTCAACTATCATATTGTGAATGTTACAAAGCTAGAAAGGGAAGCACCCAAGATAGTCAGCGGCTTACCGTAAAAGCAAGCGAAATTTAACGAAATTTGGAGGAATGTGGGATAAGAAATAATGGCAGAATAGCAAGTGCGGTGAAGGAACAAATAAAAGTTGACAGTAGTTACCCACTGATATTTTTGTTTGGCTTTTCTTAATTAAAGTTTGGAAGATTTCCATTCTCATGCATAACAGTCGAAATTCACCCATTTGCCTGTCACTTTTAAGTAAAAAAAAGTTTACCCCACCTTATGCAGGTTCTCCCAGTTTTTCTAGCGTCGCAAGAGGTCGCGCAGTGCAGACAACCTCGTTTTACTTATAGGCTATCTCGGATGATCTCCATTCGCGTTAAAAACCGAAGAGAGATTTTCACTACAAACTGAAGAATTTTGTTTAAGAATAACGAAAGTAGTCCCCACTATAATTTTCTTTTAGAATTTTGCATCCGCTTAACAGGCCCGTAGCCAACAAATTCAAAAGTTTTTTTTCTGAAAAAGTGGACCTTTTACAATGACACTTATGTGTACCTAGATCAAATTTTACCCAAAATGGACCTTTTCCTGACAAAAGGGGCGGTTCTTTAGAACCCCCCCGAACCCCCCTGGCTACGGGCCTGCCGCTAACCCTAGTGATCTACTTTCAATTTGGTTTACTCATCTAGGCACTAATACAAAAAGAATTAATCTTGGTAAAAAAAATCAGCAAGAGCGAGAGTGAAATATAATTTTGTACTTAGAACCATGACATTTGTTTTATCGAGATACCAAACCGAGCCTAGATCATGTCAGCTCTATATATAATAATAAGACGTGATTGTTTTACACGGCTCTTGTTTCAGCACACACTAAAGCTACAGATAATGATTTTTAGCATGCAATGCTAGTCTGACCCAAGACTGAATTAATACTCTTATGAAAAAAAAGTGGTATTCAGCATATTTAGACGAGGTTTGTTGCTGGGATTAAAATAAAATAAATGTGCGATAAAACATAGCTATATATTTAACACTTAACGTACCATAGCAAACGGGTTGTGTTAATGCTACGGTGGAAGCCACGCGTCAAATCATTACTGGGTCATCACCTCAAAGTAAACAAAGGCCTATTCACACTAAAGAAATTTCTGGACCACATTATAGTGACGTGGTGTCTAGAATTTTTTCCACGTAAGTTTCTGGGCACAAATTAAACCGCCGAGGTCATTCAGGTCAGCAACTGTTGCTACTCTTGCTCGCTGAAACTTAACCCTACGTCGCCATGACTGCAGCCATGCTTACGTTGGCCGTTGCTCTCGCTGTAATAAATATTATCAGAATACAAGCCGAGGTCTACTCATCCTTCGCTCATCTCGAGCGTTCACTGCAAGCTGAGCAATCTCTGGCGAAAGACATCAAAGATTATATAAAACAAGAAAAAGTGCGACTGGAAAAGCTGGAAAGGTAACGTACGCGATAGCATTGCCTACGTGGCGGCTATACCTTAGTAGGTTTCCGATACACTATATTTATCCGTCTAAGTCTAAGCATGACGTATTTGCCTAAAAAGCAATGTGGTGTTGCGTAATAGGTTCACATAAATGCAATGGGACGAAATAGTAGGAAGAAGCCGAAATTAAATCAGTTCTTTTTGGCATTATCTTGAATGGTTTCAGAGCTGCCGAAGAATATGAACAACACAGCAAAGCAGCGTTGGCGAACAGTGAAAGTTTCATGGGGAATCCCATCAACGCGTACTTGTTTATGAAACGCTTTACGACAGACTGGGCAGACCTCAGTCATCTACTGCAAGAGGACCACAGCTATGGTATGCCCTACACACACTCCCTGGGTTCCCCTTTATTGCTTTCCTGATGATATTTCAAGAAAGGTCCCTAGAGCCAGACAAACTGCCACAATCATGACTGGTAGTGTAGATAGAGTATTTTAATTAAAATGTTGTGCATGACCCAATTTCTGAGGTACATTTTAAATATTTATCAGCTGAATGGATTTTATCATTTATTTGTTAATTTTAGATGGATTCCTACTCTAAATTAAACCTGAGAATAGTCTCGAATGTGTAACACATTAGGTGCAGCCATTAACGTGAAGTCTATAATACGAATCCACCTTTTCCACGTGTCCTGTAAATGTGATCAGAATACCTAATATTTAATTACGCAATATTTATTATAATTTTTTTAAATTTAATATTTCTCTGCACAGATCTTTTGGCAAATTTCGAAGAGATCAGAAACAAGGGATTTTTACCGCAGTTGGTAGATTTACAGGGGGCAGCGGCAGCTCTGATGAGGTTACAAGACACGTACAATCTCAACACATCCGAAATTGCCAGTGGAATACTACAGGGAGTGAAGAGATCGCCGGGTCTATCTGGTATGAATATACTTTTGATATTTTAACGACATTATTAATTGGAATACGATCTTTGATAAAGTTTTTCTTTACACTTATTTATCAGATATATGCAATCAAATAAGTGGATGCACAGGGAAATCCACAGGAAATATCAATGTTCGTGAGGCTTACGGGACATATTTTGTTGGGTAACATTCAATTTCATTCTGCAATGCAAAATTTTGAAAGCAGTTTGCGTAATTGAATAGCAATTGCAAAATTAATAACATAATGCTATGATTCATTCCAACTCCCGTGCTTAACACATTTGCCTCGACAAATTCTTGATTATTCATATGCAGCAACAAATACCTACAACACATCTGATAGTCGGTCAAAGTTTATGTCCAAAATGTTTTGCAGTCAATATACCGGTGAACTTCTCATTTCAGCCTTTGACTGTTTTTACTTTGGGAAATACGCATATAACCAATCTGATTACTACCACACACTTCTGTGGATGCAGGAGGCGCTCAATAGACTGCCATTTGAGCCCGACTCCCCCATAGACCGGATAACCATATTAGATTACTTAACGTTCGCAACTTTCAAGGTAAGGGGGATTTGTGTGCTTTCAGTCGACTAGAGAAACAGACATCCTATTTGAATGTTTCTAAGTCTGTATGTTTTTTAAAGGGGGAATCTCTCTCTCTCTATTGTGATTTTATCTCTCACTTTGTGTGCGTGTGTGTGTGTGTGTGTGAGAGAGAGAGAGAGAGAGAGAGGGAGGAGGGTCAAAGATAACGTAAACTCTTGCAACCAAATAGTAACTCAAAATCTAACCTTTTTCCCCAGCATCATCCGAGACATACACAGTCCAACGAAGTTTGCTAATGTCTTACAATATTTCAGCTCATAAAGTGGGAAAAATGAAAGCATATTTCGGAATTTTAAGGTTGGTCTGTTTTGGTTTTTAGCAAGGAAACGTGAGACACGCGCTTCTTCTTGCAAATGAGATGCTGCAGATAGGTAAGTGCTCAAATAGCAAGTAAGCGCTATATAAACAAAATATTAATGCCACTGAACTAATACTTTCATTGAAATACGCATTTTCATTTATGATATTTGTGAGACAATAATTAATGGCCTAAAATACAAACATTTCCATTTAGTGACTACATGGTGTCACCAATAGATCAAGTGACTTATTCAATCTAAGTTCACAGTTATTCCCTTTATTTTTAACAGACCCCGAGAACGAAAGAGCATTACAGAATAAAAGATATTTTCTATCAAATCTTGAGGAATCTGACCAGCCGATGACGATTGAAAACAAAAGGCCACATAGGGGAGTAAGGGATGAAGAATATGAAAATTATGAAAAACTATGCCGAGGAGATAGTATTAAACCTTTCAAAGTAGGTTCAGCTATTTGTATAATTATCCTCTTCATTTGAAATGTCGTTGACACCTTACATCTTGAAGACATTTAATTGTGTATATTATTAATATTATTATTATTATTATTATTATTATTATTTTAAAGCAGCCTCTAAAACCTGATATGTGAGATAACGCATCTTTTTTACCGTTTCATGATTAGACACCAAAACGGACCCACAAACTTACTTGCAGTTATGAAACCAACAAGAGCCCTAATCTGCTGTTAAGACCATTCAAAGTTGAAGTATTGTATCACAGCCCTAAGATAGTCATGTGGCACGATGTGCTGTCCGAAGTCGAAATGAAGAAAGTGAAAGAGCTCGCTACGCCTCGGGTACGTAGTAAGAGAGGCTAACATTTTGCTTAAATGTGATATGGTTTGTATTTAAAGTATTAACAGTTTCCTATCCGGGATTTTTCGCCCTTGACAAAAAATGATACCACCATATTCTTCCTGACATTTTAGAAAGAAATCGTCTGGATCTGGTACTTTTATTTGAGGTGTTTTATCATTTCTAAGGCGAATTGGGAAAGATAAGTAGCTTTGCAGGGTATTAAGATCTATATAATATGACTTTGGAACATCTGGAACCGCGTATAGTAGCCTACACCTATAACAGCGCACATCGCATTGCTCGCCAAGAGAGACATTATCATGCTCGAAAAAAGAAAAAACTAACAGTTGTCTAGATGAATGCTCGTATTCATTTATTTCAGTTAAACCGCGCGACCGTTCACAATCCTGTGACAGGAAAACTTGAATTCGCGGAATACCGAGTTAGCAAAAGGTCAGTGTCTTCGACGTCTTGTGTTTTGGAAATTGTGTGGTGCAAAAGTTAAGCGAAATTGTTAGAGCCTCAGGAGATGCTACAGTAGAAATCAAACTCGTTTATATATAATGTAACCAGTGTGCTCAGGCTTACTAGAGTATGGCCCTACTTTTGTGGGCAGTGAGTTAGATCATCATTATTTTAGTGAAATACTTCAATTCAATGAGAGGACAGTACAAGTACACAACGAGACTTCTCCGAAATGTAACTAATTGTTAAAAATTTTCTTGAGTATGAAAAACCTAATAAATTTCTCTGTTCTAGTGTTTTCTTGGACAGCGACATCGACCCCGTAGTGGAAGTAATCAGTCAAAGAATCGCAGACATCACTGGATTAGATATGTCCACGGCTGAAGGACTACAGGTGTGGCGCCTTGCTAGTTCTCCATTCAACTAAATTTGCCACATTAAAAAAATGTCATATTTGTTTTACCTGATTTTCTTTATTTGCTGACATTGGTAAACTAGAAAAATTCTTTAGAATAATTTTTCACCAATAGAATGTGTTATGTTTTTTTCTAATCTAACTACCTAGGTAGCTAATTACGGGATGGGTGGACAATATGAGCCACATTTTGATTTTGCCCGGGTAAGTTTTAAAAATACAAGATTAACTTTGAAATAAATCAAGTGTTTCAATCTATTATTTTCTCATCAACTTCGCTAATCCGAGGGGTATTTACAAATGCCTAGTTTAATATTAGTGAAAAAAGTATATGTATATAGCTTGTAAAGACATCATTGTTTTTACTTATGTGACGTATGGGGCTTCAAAATAGCATTAAAGGGATTTGAATATATAGCTTGTTTACTATCATTATACAAGAGACACTGATTCACCTATTTTACTGTTAAAAGTTATTGGATTATACATTTACGCAGTGTTTTAATCCGAGCCACTTTTTCTGTTTTTTTTTTTTTTTTTTTTTTTTTCAGAGGAGAGAAACTCACGCTTTTAGTGATGCTATAGGAAATAGAATAGCCACAGTTCTGTTTTATGTAAGTGATTTCACTGAAAGTAACCGATGCTGTTACTCTATCAGTCGACATAACCGTGCCTATGTCAGATAAGCTTTCTATCTTTTTGGTCTCAGTTGTCCAGAATAATAGTGACGTCTTTCTAACGTTAAATTGTTCAGCCAAACAGTTGTTAGAATGTAGGACCCAGTTGTTAGAATCTAGGATACTGGGTCCTGTTTAGAATTAAATCAGGTCCGTTGTATGTGTGATACACTGTATAATGTTTACCATTCTGTTTTGTTGTTAGATGACAGACGTGGAAGCAGGGGGCGCCACAGTATTTCCCAAACTAGGAGTTAAAGTTTTCCCTAAAAAGGTGCGAGTGTTGCATAAGTTCTGTAATCAAATATTTAGTGGTGTATGTTGAATTAGACTCAAACATATTGTTTTACATATTTGAACTGTAAAACGCATACACTTTCGTTGTAGTCATATGCATGTATCGGTATAATAATTTACCAAAGTTAAAGTTTTGTAGTAATAAAGTTAAAATGCAATTTATATATTTCTACATGTAGACTATAGTAAAAATAACTGACACAATATATTTAAATATTACTTTTATTTTATCAAACCTCAGTCATTGAAAGGACCAATTTTGAACTACAATTATAAAACTGTGGAAAGTAACATACATGTATTTGTTGATTACTTTTTAGGGATCTGCAGCATTCTGGTACAATCTCAGACGGAGTGGTATTGGCGACTACCGTACAAGACATGCCGCGTGTCCAGTGCTGTCCGGGGCCAAATGGGGTACGTAAGCTCAGCACGCGCTTTTTAATATCACTCACTACCCCCCCCCCCCCTCCCCAGGCCCACTAATTGATTTTTAATCAGATATTCACAGATATGTATCTGGTCAATTCATTACATTTTTCTACTGTGTGCGTTAGGGAAAAGTGCATATTATTATCTGCGGTCATGGTAGTCAAAATATCACAGTATCTGTGAACATGTTCTTATTAGAATGTAGTCTAAGCACTAACTTCTACCAAGGTTGATTCACAAGGTAGTAGTTAATGTACTTCATTTTTTAAAAGTTGCTTTGGTCGCATTCAGAACAGATGATCCGCAGATAAACTGGACTAATAACTGGTCAGTCAGTTAGTCCGCGGATCATCTGTTCTGAATGCCGCCTTAGTTCGACGATTTGTTATTAGTATTTTTTAAATTCCTTGTTTTTTGACAGTATTAAATCTTGCCTCCTCCGTGTAAAGCCTATCAAACATGGCTGTCGTGTACCAAGGCATTGTATACATCCTTGTTTTTACTGAGCTGTATTCATCTTTATAAAATCTTTTCAGTTTGCAATAAATGGCTGCATGAAAGAGGACAGGAATTAAGGCGAACGTGTTCAACCAATCCTAAGGAATAATCACAGCGGCTATGCATACCATATTTGTTCGATCCAGGAACTCAAACCAGACTCGCAATACTCAATGCAATTTATATTCTTGAAGTTCATTTTAGTGTAGATATGCATCACTAGAGCTTTCACTGCAAGACTGCCAAAATGTTTGCTTTCATATATATTTTAAGTGTGAAACGCACATGATATCTGCTATCATACAGTGGACTCAATAAACTATATATTTTCTTTATTTAACTGATTATTTGACATCATTAATATATAGGATGGCAAAATGTACTTCTTAAAAAGTTATCTTTGTTTAAAAGAATTTTTTAATATATTTTGTCATAATGACAAGCCCTGAACAAGAATGGGCAATCAAAAACCGTTTTAAGACGAACCATGCACGGAAGGAGACAGTTTTGTCGTTGGTCTGCTCCTATTATATGGATACTTTTAAAACAGTTTCTGGTATCATGCCATACGTTATATTGGCACTATTGTTGTGATGTATTTTTGTATATTTTGTTTCATGTTATACAGAAAGTAAGAAGAATATATGGATATTATGTAATGTACAACGCATCAAAATCAGATTGTATCAAAGACGATATCAGAGCAAATGGAGAGTGTGTAGTGTGATTTTTGACGACAGAGGTGTTGTAAAGATTGTTTTCAGCGGTGCAAAGTTGAATAAAGGTGCCATTTGGTAGATGTATACTTGTCTTTTCACGCTTTTTACAACTATACGCGACAACTAGACTACATAGTTACTGGAATAGAAGAGACCTCTACTGTGATTTATTTTATTTTAACTGTGTGGCACAAGGGTCCATTCCAAATGACACATCGATGAAACTGTTCCAAAACATGACTACCGGCTAAGTGCCGTATTTCGCTCTAAGTTTTTCATCTAACATCTGCGACAGTGCACCACACAGTTCAAAGTGAAGCTGCTGGACCCTGGAAAACAAGAGGAAATGAACTGGATTCAAAGTTGAATAGGGAATTAATAAAGCCTATGAATTTTACGGAGAATGCATACAAAAAGTAATCCCGCATTTTCGAAACTTTCGAGCGACATTTCTAAAATTCAAATGTGTTGGAACGCAATGAAAAACTACAGGAACTAAATAGTTGCTCTTACCTGAACATTGAGTTGTCCATATGATCGAGACTCGTGAGTAACGTGTCTAGCCAGATAAGATTTGTAGAGATATCTGAGACCACTGCAAAATCGTCATGACGTAGTGTATCTTCGAATTCTTGGACCATTTCGTGGAAATTTGAGTACTTACCCCTTCGCTGATGGAAGAAGGGGATAAGAACCATAAGTGATGATACTAAAGAGATTTCCTTTTTTACTCATCTACTTTAACATAAGTTGTCACAAGACATACAGTATAAAACTTATGTTTGCATAAACGACTGAAATATGTTTCCAAAGAAAATATTAAAAAGGAAAACGTAAAAGAAACGATAACCTCATCTCATATTATTCCTACTTTATACTACCTGTTTCTCCAGCATTTGTTTAACTTCATTGTGCTGACGTTGTAAAAGGAACTCTTTCTTGTGCTTCAGGGCAGCCTCTCTCTCGGCAAGCTGCTCTGCCTAATGCAAGTTTTTAATCAAGATTTTTTCATGTGAATCCTTCAGATTTCATTAATCTTTAATTCATTACACTGTTAATTACTATGTCAAATAAAAACTATCAGGCCAATTAAGGGGATAATAACTGCTCGTATGAGATCCATATTTCAAAATAAAAATATCAAAAAAATATAATAAATTCTATTTTACCACCAAAACGGAGATTATCGCAATTTTTCTGGAATCTGCGTCGTTGAAGATGATAATGCAAATAATTCAGTGGTAGCATTTTTTTCTTTGAAATTTCCGATATTTCTTCCATGCATATAGTGTCATATCTATTACTGCTGGTAATCAAACCAGCATGCAATTTTTTTAATACTATGGGGTGTCTTTGAAGAAACACAACTCTAAACACAGAGCAAGGATCACGCTTTCATTTACCTACCGCGTAGTTTTCAGTCGCTTCACTGATATTCATAATGATAACGCCAATCATTACATTAGAAAAAATGAAGTGCCCTAGGAAAATAAAAAAGATGGTGTAAATTCTGCTGCCATCCATGTTGTAGTTATCTAAACTTTCCTGGATATCTGTCCATCCGTCAACCTGGAATGTAGACGATCAAAATAATGATAACGACTGTTGTGAGTGCGATCTTTTCTAGTAGATACAATTTTGCCATATTTCTCAAATGAGTTTTACTTATGTAATTATACACACGTAGTGGGGATATTAGAGTTCACAGGAAAAGAGAGAGAGAGAGCGATGAAAACGATCACTTACGGTAACGTAGCTAAAAAGAGTAAGCATGGCTTTGTCCAGAGATCCCCAATTCTGTTTGTCTGCGTCGTCCTTGTATCCAAAGAAATAGTACCCCATTATGCCAAACAGGAACATCAGAAGGAGCAGCAGTCCGACTACGTTCAACACAGATTTGCGTATGGTGTCCAAAAGAGCTGTTACCAAAACCTAACAAGTTGAAAAGAGAACAAATAGCAAATTTTCATTCCTTTTGATGCAAAGAGAAAATCAGGAAATGGCTATAGGAACCAAGACGCAACAACATTGAAATGAATACGCTTGTAAAAGTTCTTTTCTCTGAACATGATAGGCTAAGTAGGCCTATCACCTATTAAATGCCTTATGCAGAAAAACTAAATCTATACTACATAATTAAATATAATAAATTAATTCATTATAAATATATTATAAATAAATTTAACAAAATAAATAATAAAATTCCAGCATACAATACCTGCAATCCTCTTATAAAAGATACTGTGCGCAGTGTTCGCAGAGTTCTCAGCGCCCTAAGTATACGTAAGGCCGCCAAGCCCGAGCCTCCTGCATTCATTAACACGAGTATAATCTGGACATAGGATATCACCAAAACAGCAAAATCAAATAAGTTATAACTACTAAACCAGTAGCCTTTCGGCTCGGCATATAATTTCATTATAAACTCTATAGTATATACCGCTAAAAACAGTTCGTCTAGAATGTGAAACAAATCTTTGCCACTCTCTCGAATAGAAATGTCGGTCTCCAAAGCCATACACAAGGCATTACAAACGATTGTGAACATGATTATGAAGTTGAAGACTGAAGATTCGGTGACATCTCTAATAAAACGATGGAATTCTCTATCCCAGCGAGCACCGGTCTTTTTGGCCCATACGTCATCCTCAAGATCCACTTCAGGATCATTGAATACCTTGGCGAAATGTGCGAAAGACATCTTGAGAACGACGCAGTTGGCAAGAAATGACATCAAAAGTGTTGCATACGTTACTCGCGCACGACGTGACAGTGTTAGTGTGACGTCATTCCACATGCAGGTCGTGTAAACGGCATTGTAACAATTTCATTGAATTTTCGCTAGATAATTTTTAAAAACTTCCTGGACGTAATAAGAGATGAAACCAGGGAGGGTGGGCAACCGAAAGATATAGCGGATCCAGGCCCCACCTCCCTCCCAAGAAATTAGAAAAGGACACGTAGGCCCGTAGCCAGGGAGGGGGGTTCGGGGGGATTCGGGGGTTCGAAAGAACCACCCCTTTTGCTGGGAAAAGGTCCTCTCTGGGTAAAATTTAATCTAGGTAGCCTACATAAAGTTTTTATGGAAAAGGACCACTTTTTCAGAAAAAGAACCCCCCTTTTGAAATTGCTGGCTACGGGCCTGACACGTAGATTAACACTAGGCTAGCTCGTCCGGTCTGTCAAGAGGTCCTGGTGCAGAGCAATTAGGCTAACGTTTCCCTCCCCTCACCTTAATACTGTAGCTATTCTTTAGAATATCGTTTGATTCACTGGAGGCTCAATTAATTTACAGATTAATAATCCGATGGAAAGACATTAATGGATCTAAAAGTAAAAGAAAATAACCGAGAGTGGTATGATTGACCCCGATATGTAGGGAAATGAAAAGAAAAGGCCTAGCATATTCAAACTAACGCAAGTGGAAAAACCTGAGATCTATAAGACAAGCAATAACAGCTTTCGGGTATTGATTTGTTTTTCATTTGATTAAGAAGTGTTTTGTAAAGAACTGAACTAAAAATATGGTCGGTGTTGAATGAAAAACTTTCATAAACCAATGATAACCTACATTCACGGCCACTGGACAAACCAAGTGTTTTGTAAAGAAGACCACTGTACGATATGTTCTGTCTCAGAAGCTGTTATTATTATTATTATTATTATTATTATTATTATTATTATTATTATTATTATATAAATCGGATTGATAAATTGAGGATGAAAGGTGGCCTATATAGATAATGATAGGCGTAGATTAAATGATTAGTTATCCGTGTATTGTATCCCGACGAAAATAATATCGCTGACTGATGCAAAATGCCGACATAAAATATGCTCGTGTCAGCACACCCCCGTGACAAATCTATATTTAGCCATACTACACAGCCAATCACGTCTCTTTAAAATGACGTCATCACCAGGTAGATGGAGTATAAGTCACCGTGTATACCTGGATACTACAGACACCAAGATCAACCGTCTCGGGTGAAGACGTCGGGTTGGTTCTCCCCACTGCAGCATCCTCAAAATGACGGACTGGAAGTGGGTGTTGTCGTGTAACCAAATACCCACCCAAGTCATGTAGCTTACTTCGTCACGCCTGAAACATTCCTGTTTTGGGACTCACCCTGGCTTCTGGGATTCGTGCCGCAGCGGCCCCGCCATCACCTTATACTGGTGCTAGGGGTTGGTTCGGATTTCCGGGGGCCTCCTCAACGCTGGGCTTTGACCCTTGGCTACTACAAGGGCCGTGGGCAAATTTCTCAGTTTGGGGAGTTCTCTGGACCTCGACGTACTTGGGTGTGAGTAAGTATAATGTGAAGCCAGCATCAGTAACGATACAGGATGAATTGGCGTGGTCAGTGTCACTGAAGTAAGCGATATATGACTTGTGGTAAGTTTCTGGTACACGGTGGCACCCGTTCCCAGTCTCGACTGTATAAACAGAGCCAGATGACAGCGTTTCTGTTTGGCTGGAGTCTCTGTCAGAACCAACTCGAACTCGACTCTTTGGACTTTAAACTCGGACATAGCGGAGGTTTCTGTTATAGTTGTAATAAATACACATGGTTATTTGAAATAAGCCGTGACAAATCTACTACTGCCAGGTTATCCGACTAGCACTATACTGGGAACTCGACTGAACCCCCCCCCCCCCCCCCCCTCACTTAAAGTTTTTGCGACAGTCCGTGAATGTTGATTTGTTTCGCTACTGAATGTTACCAGCCGTGCCACTTGCAGTTTTTCATGCTGGTAATTTTTTACTCATTAAATGAAAATTTTATCTGCAACACAAACTGGGAAGAAGGCTTATGTTTGAAAATGCCACCCATAAGTATGCCCATAGAAGTACATGGTATGCTATTACTGATAGTAAGTATTAAAACTGCCAAAGGTTCAGTTATCTGCCCCACACTTTTCACAACTTGGATATAACACTGATAGACAAGGACTGATAACAGTGCCTGCCCTTATCTCTATGCTGGCAATATTTCAATCACTGCCAGATTCACAAGCAGGTCAAGTTGGGTATTATTTACACATAAACATTTGAAGTAATGTATTACTTCTGTCCAGTTTGTGATTACTTTTTTTAACCTTGGACAAATAAAACATGAAGATTGTGAAGATTGGCCATTCTAGAGTCCCCCGTTTACACAGGTTACATAAGGATTATGGTTTGTGATGCTGCTTTTACTGAAGGCACATGTGTATATGTAACTGGTTGTGTTAAATATTTATGTAAGGTGGGGAAGATGATTTTGTATTTGTTATTACCATAGGAAGCCACTGTAGAGTACACGTCTCATCTACACTTCAAAGAATAATAAGGGGAATCATTTGGCTTCCTCTAGTTAGATATTGTAATTGACAGCATAAGTCCTCATGCAGTCAAGCCATCACATCAACTCAAAATGTAGCCCAAGCACTACTGTTCCAAATTAAAACAATTTGTCAGGTTTAATGATAATATTTCCATAATGCAAACCAGATTCCTACTTAGTTACAACTCACTTTTATTGACACAATCAACATGATTGTTATTCTATGCCTTCTCTAAATATATACAGTAGCCTTACGTATATACACAGCACCAAGAATGTATTACATTCTTGATAACACTGAGAGTGTGCTTATATGACGTTATCCCAATATTTTTCAGAATACAAATTGTTATCACCTAAATAACGATAACCTTCTTTGCATAAATAACTGTGGAAGATGAAGATGAAAAGGTAACAAAAACGTCACCCCTCCTCCTACACTGCATCAAATAAGCTGGGGGACCTTTAGTCACTGGAATGTAGTTTGATCAGTTTGTGGCAGTCCTTTGTTAATCCATTTTCAATAATATGCTGTTGTTCTGAGTATTATGAGTGTCTTAAAGAGTGTAAGGCAACAAGATCTAAGGTCTGCCCTTCCACATGGCGAGATCTTCTCTGCATCCAACCATAAATTTGCTTGCTGCAGCAATTTTCAAGCAATAAAAAAGAACCCATGCAAACGTCAGTCATCTTTCTTGTAGCATACCATTGCATCCACTTTGTGTATTGTGGTTGTAAAAGATCTCAGTCTCACTTCCTCTGAGTTTGAAATAAACTGTGGACCTGACTCTCCCCAACTGTCAGGTACATCTAAGTCTTTATCTGTGTAAACTAACAGGTCAAAGACACCTAGAAAAGAAAGGAGTATTTCTCTTTATAGAAGGATTTTATAATGAAACTGTACTTGGAAAAAAATCTTATTTTCATTTTGTGCTTAAAACTATCCATCAAGCTAAGTTATACAAAATTATATCTTCTTTCAGTTTTCAGTGCTTCAACTGGCCTTCGGGGTCCGTTACACTAAGTCCTACTATATATATATGTATATATATATATATATATAAACTTTCTATCCTTAAGAATCTCCATACAGCTAATTTATTCATTTGAGTGTGGTGTTGGTGTACTTACATGCAGTCTCTAACAGTGGCAGGAAAGTGACTGTGGCTGTGATTTGACGGATTACTGCACTTATTTCTTTGTTGATATCAGCTTCAGATTTCTCTCTTGGTTTTGCACTTGTAAAAAAGGAAACTGCTATTACTCTACAGTACAAAAATCTATCCTCTTTTTTTTTTTACAAAATCAAATTTATTTATAGAAAAAGTTTCCTTCCTTTAATATAAAAATCAATATGAGTGTAATTACTATATTGATGTTTTATACAAATATTTTATAAATAATTTCATAACATCTTCTCACTTTGTAAAATCAACAAAAAATTATCAAAGTACGATATTTGATATCTCTGACATATACTTCTTAAATCTTGAACAGTTCTATTAAAACATCTGAGTTAAATACTAAAGCAAGGGGCCGTAGCAATAGTCCGAAGGTTCAATAGTCCGAAGGTTCATTGGTCCGAATGTTCACTACAGAACCTTCGGACCAATGAACCCTTGATTAAAAAACCTATGAAAATGTTACCGTTTTTCGGACCAATGAACCTTCGGACCAATGAACCTTCGGACTATCGAGACGCCCCCCTAAAGCAAAAGTCTGAACCAAGATATATCCATTTCACCCACCCAGGGTCCTTGGCAGATTTGTCACATTCGATATCAAACTGCCATCTCTCCAGCACCTCAGCTGTGTCCACACTCTTGATGACCACCACTAACTTTTGGACTGTCATACTGTAAAGCCATTCTGAAATGAGAAGGACATGCAGTTTAGTTATACAGGACATTTTATCTGGTTGAGAGCAAAGCAATTTCCTCAAAACTTACTGCTAAGGAGAATTATACGTGTTCAAGAGAATAAAAATCATTAAATCTAATAGTGATGACAAGTTTTTTGTTTCTTTTTTTTTTTTATGAATATACTGCAAAGCTCCTAACATTCCAAGACTCTATCATGTTCAATTTTGAAACGGACAAAAATATTGTGAATTGTCTTGTGAATTTCTCTGAAAACTGACCACTAGATAGGCTCAAACAGGATAAATACTAGTACAATCAAAATGATATAAACAAATAGCAGAGCTTTAAAACATACAAATGCAGTTGGCCACCTTAAAAACAAAAATCAATAAGAAAATATTGACACTAATATTGATTAAACCTCATATTTGGCTACTGTACATTTACTGTATCATTAAAAAATCAAGAAGGCAATATTAACTACAAATAATGTAATACATATCAATTATGACAAAATCCTATCTAACTGATTGTGAATATTTATTTTATTTTTGACAAGAACAAGCAGTGTTCAAAGTCAAATACCAGTTCATTTATTGGAATGAACACATTTGTCAATACCATTATAATAGTAATCAAATTTTCAGGTAGATGATATACATCTGTTTTAAAAGTACACTCATCAGTGGAATAATATCAAGTATACTTAAAAAGGCAGAACTCCCTGTAGTTCTCTATTAAAGCTCTAACCAGTACTGAATTAAATTAAATAAACCCCCCCCCCCCCCCCCCAAGTATACACATTACCTTTTATCTGTGCTAGCACCTCTGCTAAATATTTTTTGAGTGTGTCATCTGTTGTGACAAGTAGAGTGAGCCCATACTTTTGACATCTGCTGAAAGTCTCTGGTGGATAAATGCCTCTCTGGTACAATATACTGTTGATGCCATAACCTGGGGATAATAAAAAAGACCTATAGTACCGTTCATTTTTTTTTTTTTTTGCAATTGTTCACACTGTTATAGGCCCAACCTCAAATGTGCCAGTAATTTTTTTTTATTTTTACATTTCCTAATCATTGTTTCCACTTTTACCCAGCATATCCATAATCTCAGTGAGGTTTTTTTTTTTCATTGAGCACAGAGTGGTGTTTATTCTTAGTGTGAGCCTGGATGATAATATAAGTAAGTCTTGTGAAAAGGATATACTTCAGAGAAATATTGTTACATTCCCAGTTTCTAACAAAGGATGGCAAGAATGGAGAATAAAGGGATCCAGTAGTGGTAGTAAGATCCATGATGAATTAGGCCTTTGAGATTATGATGATGATGATAATAATGATCATAATTTTGACTTTTAAAACTTCTTTAAATTTCCTGGTATATGAACGTGACAACACTGAAGAGCTAGGTACACCTTTGCACGCAATCATCATTTCCCCTGTATGAACATCTTTAAAACCGAGCACCACTTCATTTTAGAAGTGCAATTTTATCGCGAGTCACTAAGTCAGCAAGTGGATATATAAGTGGTCTTAGGCTTAGCCACTTGTAACTAACAATATATTAAATGACATTAATTGCAGCGCTTCAACCAGGGGCATGCGTCACATTATGTGGAGAATACCAGTGGATCATTGTTATTACTTATCCCCATCAGCCACATGTCATCTTACAGTCAAACTCCAACGCAAGCATTTAAAACGCGAGATATTCAATTTCAAGTGGAGCGGAGCCTCAACATTTGAGTGCATTTTCAAGGCTGTCATGTTTTTTCGCGACTGTATCAGTGATCAACTGCATGTGGATTATTATGCCAATTAGCAAGTCATCAAACAAAACGTTTAGCTTACTGAAAAACTCGGCAACAATATCGGTTGATCCTCGTAACGTGATTGCACTCTTTTGTGCTAGCTTCCCCGCCATGTTTTTAAACGCTAGTAAGTGAAAGACAATCTAATTGGTTGAAAATAAAACGGGTCTTTCAATTGGTTATGTCTTATCTCACCTACCACATCTTTAGCCCAACTACTGCAATTACCTAAATTTGTTCGTGTTCTAAAAATATCTTATCAGCTTTGTGACTCGTGAGGCATACCTTTTATATTTCTATTTTGCTTGTTCCAAATATCTCGATAAGTGTGGTTCCTATTTTTTAATATCTTAAGGAAAAGAGGACTTGAGTGATCAAAACAAATAACTGGCGACACTCCAATTGACCAATTATTTCCGAATACAGGGTAACGGTTGTCAATCTTGTTTAATCGATAGACCTAGTGACACTTTTCGAATATATCCTACGCAACTATCGTTTATCATATTTCATTCCATTGAATTTGCAATTATATTTATGAAATAAAATGTGTTGGCTTCATATGGTTGATCATACACAATCTGGAAAGCGAGCACTACGTACGGACTGTGAACAAGAAACAGCTGGGGAGGGGGCATGGAAAGCAGCCCTTACATCAAAAATTCATGTTTTTAGATGTATAATAAAAAAAAATCTAAAAATTGATAAATAATTATGAAGAAAATTAGACAAATAAATATGAAATTAACAATGCTGAATTAAAAAGCATATTGGTAATTCTTCATGATTGAAAAATCCTATGCGAGATGCGTATGGATATAATGCTTATAGGCCCTACCCTCTAAAGACAAAACGATGCAACAAATAAATTATATTGTGTATATGTTGTAGTTTATTTTATCACATCACTTTTAGTACACGTTGATAGCCTTATGCATTTAAGCGTTACAGTTTTGGTAGCATTTGGGTTGAACTAGACAGTACGCATTTCTAAACAGTAGCCTAAAAAGTAAGCCGGTGTGACAGGAATGGTAGTCCTAGGAATGGACGTTCGGGGTCCCCTATGATTAGCACAGGTTAGGGTTAGTCAGAATATTAAATATTAAGTATTTGGGACGAATGCCACCTGTAGAAATTAATGGGGAACGGACTACTGTTCCTAGCGGACTATTATTCCTGTCACACCGATGCACCTCAATGTCTCTGACTTGTGACCGACAATTATTCAATAAACGTTCAATTTCTTTTTCTCCGAGATTTAGTATCTGCATTTCATTTTAAATGCTGTTTACTTATTTTACATAATTAAGATACAACCATTTGTTTACCAAATTATATGAAAATATAAACAATTTACAACAAATCGCTTTTTTTTTAAACATCAATCATTTTCTGTAACAGAAGAATTAGAGACCGTCGATATTCTGACAAAATGAAAATATTCTAATTTTTATTTTGTAACAAAAATCTGAATGATCAATATCGCTTCGTATCGATATCTTTGCGATTTGAAACTTAGAGGTAAAGCTTGAACTTAGTACCGTGCTATTTCACCAAAATTTGAAATATGATTTATGACTATAAGGAGGCAATCTTAGAAATTAAGTCAAGTCGCGTGCCTTGCTCAGTGTTGAGGATGATCATACNAGAATATGGTCGGTGTTGAATGAAAAACTTTCATAAACCAATGATAACCTACATTCACGGCCACTGGACAAACCAAGTGTTTTGTAAAGAAGACCACTGTACGATATGTTCTGTCTCAGAAGCTGTTATTATTATTATTATTATTATTATTATTATTATTATTATTATTATTTTATTATTATTATTATTATTATTATTATTATTATTATTATTATTATTATATAAATCGGATTGATAAATTGAGGATGAAAGGTGGCCTATATAGATAATGATAGGCGTAGATTAAATGATTAGTTATCCGTGTATTGTATCCCGACGAAAATAATATCGCTGACTGATGCAAAATGCCGACATAAAATATGCTCGTGTCAGCACACCCCTTGACAAATCTATATTTAGCCATACTACACAGCCAATCACGTCTCTCTTAAATGACGTCATCACCAGGTAGATGGAGTATAAGTCACCGTGTGTACCTGGATACTACAGACACCAAGATCAACCGTCTCGGGTGAAGACGTCGGGTTGGTTCTCCCCACTGCAGCATCCTCAAAATGACGGACTGGAAGTGGGTGTTGTCGTGTAACCAAATACCCACCCAAGTCATGTAGCTTACTTCGTCACGCCTGAAACATTCCTGTTTTGGGACTCACCCTGGCTTCTGGGATTCGTGCCGCAGCGGCCCCGCCATCACCTTACGGGTGCTAGGGGTTGGTTCGGATTTCCGGGGGCCTCCTCAACGCTGGGCTTTGACCCTTGGCTACTACAAGGGCCATGGGCAAATTTCTCAGTTTGGGGAGTTCTCTGGACCTCGACGTACTTGGCTGTGAGTAAGTATAATGTGAAGCCAGCATCAGTAACGATACAGGATGAATTGGCGTGGTCAGTGTCACTGAAGTAAGCAATACATGACTTGTGGTAAGTTTTTGGTATACGGTGGCACCCGTTCCCAGTCTCGACTGTATATGGATGAAAGCGTTTCTGTTAGCCTGGGGTCTCTGTCTGAACCAACTCGACTCTTTGGACTTTAAACTTGGACATAGCAGAGGTTTCTGTTATAGTTGTAATAAATTAGATCCATTATACACATGGTGCTTTAAAATAAGCCGTGACAAATCTATTACTGCCAGGTTATTCGACCAACACTATACTGGGAACTCGACTGAACCCGCCCCCCCCCCCCCCCCCCTTAAAGGTTTTGCGACAGTCCGTGAATGTTGATTAATGTCGCTACTGAATGTAACCAGCCTTGCCACTTGTAGTTTTTCACGCGCGTAATTTTTGGCTCATTCGATGAATTTTTTTTTCTGCAACACAAACTGGGAAGAGGGTTTATGTTTGGGAATACCACCCATAGAATGCCCATAGAAGTACATGGTATGCCATTACCGATTGTAAGTATTAAAACTGTACCCAAGGTCCAGTTATCTGCCCTACTCTTTTCACAACTTGGATATAACACTGATAGACAAGGGCTGATAACAGTGCCTGCCCTTATCTTCAATCACTGCCAGATTTACGAGCAGGTCAAGTTGGGTGTTATTTACACATAAACATTTGAAGTAATGTATTACTTTTGTCCAGTTTGTGATTACTTTTTTTAACCTTGGACAAATAAAACATGAAGATTGTGAAGATTGGCCATTCTAGAGTCCCCCGTTTACACAGGTTACATAACGATTATGGTTTGTGATGCTGCTTTTACTGAGGACACATGTATATGTAACTGGTTGCGTTAAATATTTATGTAAGGTGGGGAAGATGATTTTGTATTTGTTATTACCATAGGAAGCCACTGTAGTGTACACGTCTCATCTACACTTCAAAGAATATTAAGGGGAATCATTTGGCTTCCTCTAGTTAGATATTGTAATTGACAGCATAAGTCCTCATGCAATCAAGTCATCACATCAACTCAAAATGTGGCCCAAGCATTACTGTTCCAAAATAAAACAATTTGTTAGGTTTAATGATAATATTTCCATAATGCAAACCAGATTCCTACTTAGTTACAACTCACTTTTATTGACACAATCAACATGATTGTTATTCTGTGCCTTCTCTAAATATATAGCCTTACGTATATACACAGCACCAAGAATGTATTACATTCTTGATAACACTGAGAGTGTGCTTATATGACGTTATCCCAATATTTTTCGGAATACAAATTGTTATCAACTAAATAACAATAACCTTCTTTGCATAAATAACTGTGGAAGTTGAAGATGAAAAGGTAACAAAAATGTCACCCCTCCTCCTACACTGCATCAAATAAGCTGGGGGACCTTAAGTGACTGGAATGTAGTTTTGTGGCAGTCCTTTGCTAATCCATTTTCAATAATATGCTGTTGTTCTGAGTATTATGAGCGTCTTAAAGAGTGTAAGGCAACAAGATCTAAGGTCTGCCCTTCCACATGGCGAGATCTTCTCTGCATCCAACCATAAATTTGCTTGCTGCCGCAATTTTCAAGCAATAAAAAAGAACCCATGCAAACATCAGTCATCTTTCTTGTAGCATACCATTGCATCCACTTTGTGTATTGTGGTTGTAAAAGATCTCAGTCTCACTTCTTCTGAGTTTGAAATAAACTGTGGACCTGACTCTCCCCAACTGTCAGGTACATCTAAGTCTTTATCTGTGTAAACTAACAGGTCAAAGACACCTAGAAAAGAAAGGAGTATTTCTCTTTATAGAAGGATTTAATAATGAAACTGTACTTGGAAAAAATCTTATTTTCATTTTGTGCTTAAAACTATCCATCAAGCTAAGTTATACAAAATTATATCTTCTTTCAGTTTTCAGTGCTTCAAACTACCCTTCAGGTTCAGTTATACTAAGTCCTATTATATATATATATATACATATATATATATATATATCAACTTTCTATCCTTAAGAATCTCCATAAAGCTAATTTATTCATTTGAGTGTGATGTTGGTGTACTTACATGCAGTCTCCAACAGTGGCAGGAAAGTGACTGTGGCTGTGATTTGACGGATTACTGCACTTATTTCTTTGTTGATATCAGTTTCAGATTTCTCTCTAGGTTTTGCACTTTGTAAAAAAAAAGGAAACTGCCATTACTCTACAGTACAAAAATCTATCCACTTTTTTTTTTTTTTACAAAATCAAATTTATTTATAGAAAAAGTTTCCTACCTGTAATATAAAAATCAATATAACTGTAATTACTATATTGATGTTTTATACAAATGTTTTATAAATAATTTCATAACATTTTCTCACTTTGTAAAATCAACAAAAAATTATAAAAGTAGGATATTTGATATATCTGCCATGCACTTCTTGAATCTTAAATAGTTCTATTAAAACATCTGAGTTAAATACTAAAGCAAAAGTGTGAACCAAGATATATCCATTTCACCCACCCAGGGTCCTTGGCAGATTTGTCACATTCGATATCAAACTGCCATCTCTCCAGCACCTCTGCTGTGTCCACACTCTTGATGACCACCACTAACTTTTGGACTGTCATACTGTAAAGCCATTCTGAAATGAGAAGGACATGCAGTTTAGTTACAGGACGTTTTAACTGGTTGAGAGCAAAGCAATTTCCTCAAAACTCACTGCCAAGGAGCATTATACGTGTACAAGAGAATAAAAATCATTAAATCAAATAGCGATGACAAGTTTTCTGTTTCCTTTTTTTTTTTTTTTTGACGAATATACTGCAATGCTCCTCACATTCCAAGACTCTATCATGTTCAATTTTGAAACGGACAAAAATATTGTGAATTGTCTTGTGAATTTCTCTGAAAACTGACCACTAGTTAGGCTCAAACAGGATAAATACTAGTACAATCAAAATGATATAAACAAATAGCAGAGCTTTAATACATACAAATGCAGTTGGCCACCTTAAAAACAAAAATCAATATGGAAATATTGACACTAATATTGATTAAACCTCATATTTGGCTACTGTACATTAACTGTATCATTAAAAAAACAAGTACTCAGTAGGCAATATTAACTACAAACAATGTAATGCATATCAATTATGACAAAATCCTATCTCATTGATTGTGAATATTTATTTTAGTTTTGACAAGAACAAGCAGTGTTCAAGGTCAAATACCAGTTCATTTATTGGAATGGACACATTTGTATCAATATCAATACCATAACTAGAGGATCAGAGAGGCGATACCGCCTCCGAATATTGTACCACCAGCTGGAGCAAGCGCATTCGTATAGACCCCCACATACACAAAATAAGGGACACAGCCACCAGTTTTGTGCTTGACAAGCTGTAAAAATGCAATCAACAAGAATTTTTAAACTATTGCAAAAAACATATATGGTACAATCAAATTTAAGTTCTTCGTAAGGTAGGTCAAGGGTCAATTTCAAGGTCACAGTAAATTGCCAGTATATGACTTCATATTCAAGTTCAAGAATAACTATGAACCTATCTCTGTCAAGTTTGAAGTTAAAAGAGAAAAAAAGTTCAGTTCATGATAAAAAGTAGGTCAAAGGTCAATTTCAAGGTCACACTTATATTGCCAGTATAGGACTTCCTATTCAAGTTTAATAATAACTATGGACCTATCTCTGTCAGTTTTGGAGATAAAACGGAAGCAAAATTTGCAAAATTCAGTTCATGGTGAAAAGTAGGTCAAAGGTCAATTTCAAGGTCACATTTAGATTGCCAGTATATGACTTTCTATTCAAGTTCAATAGTAACGATGGACCTATCTCTGCCAGTTTTGGAGATAAAAGGAAAGCAAAATTTGCAAAGTTCAGTTCATGGTGAAAAGTAGGTCAAAGGTCAAT